GAAGGGTCTAGGTCCGAAACGTCAGCCTTCCTGCTCCTCTGATGCTGCTTGGCCTGCTGTGTTCATCCAGCTCTACACCTTGTTATCTCAGATTCTCCAGCATCTGCAGTTCCTACTATCTCTGAAACAAAATATTTGTTCCAAGCCTTTGCCATTTCCTTGTTACCCATTCTTAATTTGCCAGTCTCACCATCTGAGGAACCAATGTCAACTTTAGCTACTCACTTGCTTTTTTTCTGTACTTGTAGAACATTCAATGCCTGTTTTTATACTTCTAGCCAGCTTCCTCTCGTACTACATTTTATACCACTACGTACTTTCCTATTAAGTCATCCTTTATTGCTTTCTAAACTTATACAATTGTCTGATCCACCACTACTAGTTCCAAAGACGTATATATTTACTTTGAATTTGACAAAATTTTTACTTCTTAGTTCGTCATTGATGATGCATCTTTCTCATAGTATCTTTTTCTCAACGAAATAGATGTGTGAGAGTTATAGAATATATCCTTAAATGTCTCTTTCTGCTTCCTTACCTCTCACTTTTAAAATTATTTTCCAATTCCATTTTAGCTAACTCTGGCTTAATACTTTTGCAGCTGTTTTTACTTAAGTTTAAGATACCGGCTTCAAAACCAATTTTCTCATACTCAAACTGAATGATAAATTCTACCATGTTATGATCACTTTGATCCAAAGGATCTCTTGATACTACGAGGTCATTAATTAATCCTGACTTATTACACATTATTAGGTCTAATGTAGTATGTTCCCTGACTGGTTTCAGAACTGATTGTTCTAAAAAACCATCCCGAATACAGTCTATTAACTCATTCTTCAGATTAATTTTGCCTGTTCAATTTACCCAATCTATATGAAGATTAAGATCACCTACAATTATTGCAGTAACTTCCTTACCAGCCCCCATTACTTATTAACATAAACTTTGTCCTACAATGTCAATGTCAACTACTGTCAGAGGGGTTATAAATCACTACTAGTAGCTTTTGTTCATTACTTCTCATCTCCAACCAAACCAATTCTACATTTTCGATCTATTGATCAAAGCTCATTTCTCAGTATTGTACTAATCTCATCCTTCATTAACAAAGTGACCTCACCTCCTTTTCCTTTCTTGTTATCCTTGGAAAACATGAGGTACTATTGAACATTAAGGTCCTAGTCGTGATTACTTTGCACCGATGCGTGAAATCTTCCCAAGCACAAATCAATTTGGGCTACAGCAAGAAATTTGGAAGAAGCAGGTCAGAAATGATGGAAGGTCTCCCTTAAATTGGTTGGAACAGGTAGCACTTTCCACCGTGGTTACAGATGTCAAACCAAGATTTACACTAGTAAGCAGCAAGAGCGTATTAATGGGAATTATTACTTATTATCACTCTCGTTATTACTTAATGTCACCTCATAATTATGCAGACTGCCATTCTCCCACTGACCGAAGACAAACTCAATACCATGAATTCCGGACACTAAGGTCTATGCACATACCTGGTCACTCCAGTCTTCCCACTTACTCTTCTGGTCCTCCTGGACACCTGGCACCTACATTGTAGAGCATGCTCGATGGGAAGCAGCTGTATGTACCCCATGTCCATGGAAGTGTCAGCCTCCCCACATCGCTATGGCATATCTCTGACCCACTTACAGCACGCTTCTGCACTGCTGTGCTATACCTGAGTGCACTATCATTGGAATACTGCCATTAGGACAGTCATCCAGCTCATGGGCTGTACCAGGCTGCATCTCAGGGCTCCTTGCTTACCTCTTAGCATTCACTTACCTTGTGCATACCCACATGCTCACAGTATCTGTGTCTTGCCTTGCAGTTTGCCATAGACACAGTCAGGTAATACGCAGGCCAGCTCTGACTGCCATTGCTTGGGCAGACCTAACATGATTACTTGATAAATCTGGGGCTCTTGAGGGTGGGGTTGGGGACTGGGGGTAAAGTGAGCAGATGAAAACTAACACAAAGCATACGGGGTTGATAGGGAGGGATGACAGAGAGTGGATGTTTACCTTTCAGGTTCACTCAGACAAACAGACTCACTGGAAGTGTGAGATAACACAGTGTGGAGCTGGAGGAACACAGCAGGCCAGGCAGCATCAGAGGAGCAGGAAAGCTGATGTTTCAGATCAAGACCATGCCTTAGAAATTCTGGCCAGTCCTGCTGTGTTCCTCCAGCTCCACGCTATGTTGTCTCTAACTCCAACATGTGCAGTTCTTGCCATCTCTCACTGGAAGTGCGACCACTGTTGTTTTCAACTGTACTGTATGTAAAGTGTACAACAGAGATGAAAATGGCTGTGATCACACCCAGAGCAGGCAGGGTAAGCGTTTTGTTCTGTGAGGGAGAGGTCTTCTATTTTGAGCAACATGAAGCTTTTCAAAGGGCAACACCATTCCCCAGACATCCATATAATGAAACTGAAACATACTGTGTGGGTCAACACATGCTTTGTGAACCTGAGACATTGACCTGCTGAGTACAGTGGAAATCCTTGTCCCAAGCATTCCTGACCATATCACATAAGATGATAACAAAATCCCACTAGTGGCTATGATGAAATAACAATGATTAACTACCCAGAAAGATGGAGCACAGTTACCAAGCTAGAAACCATCTGGTATTTACCCATTGCCTGCTGCTCCCTTCACACTTCCAGGATTTCCATTCTGTAAAACAGGGCAAGAACTTCTCTTTCTTAGCCATGCCAAGGGAAAATACCCACATATATGCAGGCCAGCTCTGACTGCCATTGCTTGACTGGGTATGTGAATATGATGCCAATGCCAGGGATATCTTTAATCCCAGGATGGCCCAGCAGTGATGAGTACTTCCAACTCTGAAGAGTGGGAGAATCAGGCTAGTATCACACAAGAGGGGTGCAGAAAGTTTGGCATGAGAGCATGAGAAAACTCACTAGGCCTAGCAGACAGAAACTTTCCAGGAAGCATGTGGAAAATGACATTTGTCAAAATGTGGAAAGATCCAGTCCAAAATCCTTGTATTGGCTATCATATCATCTTCATTTATTTCAATTTATGCTGTCAATTCATGCATCATGAAATGAATGCTATGTGCATTAAGATAAAGAGCCCTTTCATTTTGTCTTTTTACTGTTTCCCTATGCTGACTTTATTTGCTGGTGTTATGGTCCCAGCTGATGATAGTACTAAACCAGTCAAATCTCAGAGTGAAAACAGGCTTGTTTGATTTTTTTTTGCTGTTTGGTTATCAATGAGGTTAGTCATGAAACGTATGCACATGAGACTGTCAATATTCTTTTAATACAACAAAAAATCTTTAGAAAGGTTTAAAAAAATTAACATAAACAACAAAAAGATAGAGTCAACACTTTTCTGAACAATATCCTTTATAGTCATTCAGTTCCAGTGAAGTACCACTCCTATCTTAAACCATTACTTTCTTACTCAAATGACTGGTCAAATCAGAGATTATTACCTTTGTTGCTCTACTTTCTAAATTAGTCTCTAGCTGCTGAGTCTCTCAGTAGAAGCTCTCCTTAATCCTACCTGTGTCATTAGCACCCATGTAGACAATAACAACTTGATCTTTCCCCTTCCCACTCTAAATCCTGCGCTAGCCTGAGAGATCCTGAACCTTCGCTTGACTGCAGGCAACACCGCTTTCAGAAGTCATACTCTTCTCTGCAGCCAAAAGTATCTACCCCCTTGTTCTACTACAACTGCATAGCTTTTTACTTCCTCACTTGAATGTGACCCTGCACCACAGTGATGGGGTCATTTGGATCATCCTCCATGCAATCCCTGTTCTTGTCCACATAAGTCGCAAAAATCTCAAACCTGTCAGACAGTTGCAAGAACTGAGGCTCAATGTTACTTTTTGGATGCCCATGCTTGCCTCACTTGTAGTCCCACCTCTTGTCCCTGATCAGAGACCTATTCTGAAGAACCTCGCTGAAGGGATGTGATTGCCTCCTGGAAGCAATGTGTCCAAGTAACTCTTCTCCTGTCTGATGCTTTGCAGTGGCTCAAGCTCTGACTCCAGCTCAACACCTCAGAATCAAAGTTTTTCAAGCTATAGAAATTTACTGCAGATGTCTTTGAGGTGTCTACCAGCCCCATTAACTACACTTGCAACACATCACCTGCCCTGCCATCTTTATCATGATTAATGTAATTAATTAGTTTTCAAATTTAGAAATATCACTCAACTGCTGTGTATAGTTATATGAAGTAGTTTAAATATTAATTTAGTGCGATATTTGTATCTTCCCCCATACTCATTTAAACTTGCTGTATTTTATGGGAAAAAATATCTTGTAACTCATGAAATACTCATCTGCTCACCTAATCAAGTCCTTGAATACTTACCATACTATGGAGGGTAAAAAAAAATTAGAAAGAAGTTCTGAACAAGAGTCATACTGGATTTAAATTGTTAACTCTGTTTCTCTTTCCAAGATGCTAACAGGTCTGTTTTCTAGCATTCGCTGTGTTTGTTTTCAAATTTCCAGCATCCACATTTTACTTTTATATGAAGAAAGAACCTCCTCTTCCCCCGCCCCATTGCCACCTGCACCAAATTTCCAAGTTAGTTCTTGTATATCACTAATCCTATTCTCATTCATAGCTTAAACTAAAATTGCCTCCAGTGTCTCAACTTTTTGACCTTTTAAATATATTTTTATATTTACATATTTCTTGAACATTTGTCATAAAACTTTGGTATTTGATCCTTCCATAAAATGTATTCAATCTTTGATTTTAAAAATTTTACTCTGTAGCACAATACATAAACAGACACTGAAAGTATATAATGTTGTCTCCTAATGTCCTGCAGGTTGTGACATGGCACTGATCTTCCCTATGCGCTCCAAGAAGATTTACGCAAGTGTTCATGCTGATGATATGACTCTAAGCTCATTTACATCCTGCATATGGATAAAAGCAACTCATCTGTTGGACAAAACAATTGTGTTCTCCTACGGAACAAAGAGAAATCCCTATCAAATTCAGCTATACTTCAATGAGTCCTCCGCTGTGTTCTCTGTGCACAGTGACACAAGCAAAATTGTTGCTGAAAATGTCGTCTTCCTTGGTCAATGGGCACACCTCTGTACAACATGGAGTGCTGAAAACGGAAATGCAACACTTTGGGTGAACGGAAAACTTGCAGCTGCTTCCTCAGGAATAGCTGTTGGCCAGAATATCCCAAACGGAGGACTACTGCAACTGGGTCAAGAAAAGAATGGTTGCTGCACTGGAGGTGGCTTTGACAAAAGTTTAGCCTTTACAGGAAAGTTGACTGGGTTCAATATCTGGGACAGAGTCATTTCCAAACATGAAATACAAGCCTTGACAAGTAGGGATGATTCCTGCAGCATTAGAGGGAATGTTGTTGGCTGGAGTGTCACAGAAATTCTGCCACATGGAGGAGCTGAATTTATTTACTATTAAAATTCATTTTTAATTCCAAATGAACATGCTCAAAGAATGGATTTCAAATTGTTAACATTAATTCTATGATGTTCAATCATGAGAAACAAACGCGAATTTATATTACAAAATTCTCTAGGTTGAACTCCAAGGTGAACTTTGTAATATAAATCTCCCACAATAGCACACTTGTACAGTAATTTCCAATCTCCCATTTACATGGCATTAAGACACATATGCCAGTCTGTTACCATTGATTCAATTTGGTTCATTGTTTTTGTTTGCATGTACCAACAATTGTGATATTACAATATTGTCATCCCTGAAGCTTGGACAGCTGGGATTTTAAGATTCAATATCTATAACTCTAAAACAAAGGACATCTGTTTCTTCTTTACTCCTAGAGTGGTCTGATGAGACTCACTTGAGGAACAAGGACAAATATAGTTTTCACATAAATTTAAACGGAATTGAGACAGTTAACATTCTCAAATTCTTCTACTTTACAATGTAATGCAAGTATGTGTATGGTTACATTCATTTAATGAAAAATAATTGATTAGCAAGACGTATTAAAGGAAGAAACCATTCTACAAAGGAAAGATATTGCTCAACATGCAAGAAATAATAACTAAGTTACAATGCTTTACTATTCATATCAATTCTGTATTATACACAGTAAAAGTCTTCTGCTATCAGTCATTTAAGTATTCTATCATGAAGAGTCTAATTTTATAATAAACTGCTGTTAAACAATACCCCAGAATCTGTCTTGTGTATCTACTTTTGTAAAACCATGTTGGGCACAATGGTTGGTGGACAATTTAAATGGACTAGTCAAATGAAAAATTTAATATGTTCTGTGGCAGCACAAATAATAATAGATTAATACAGCAATAATGGAAGCCATTCAGTCTATTACACTTTTGCCAGCTCTTTGAATTAGTTGTGTAATTAGTGCCATGCTCGTCCTCTTTCCCAACAACTCAGCATTTTATTTTTCACTTATTTCATCAATTTGAAAATTATTATTGAATCAGTTTCCACATCCTTTCAGGCAGTGCACACTTGATGATGACAATTATTTGCATGAAAAATGTTTTCTTTATCACATCTAACTCTTCAGACAATAAATTTATATCTTTGCCCTTTAATTACTGATGAATTTCCAGTGGCAATTTTTTTCTCCCCATATACTCCATTGAAACCATTAACAGTTCTAAATACCTTTTTCAAATATTTCCTTAAAGTTGTTTGGCCTAAAGAGAATAATCTATAGGTTCAGTTGTAACTGAAGAATTTCATCTCTGGTACCATTCTAGCAAAATTCATTCAAACACCTTAGGCTCCGACATCCTTCCCAAAGTACAATGCCCAAAACTGATCACAATATTCAAAACTAGATCCTAATCAGTATACGCCTGTTTATAAAGTCTACATGTCTTTTTCGAAGTCTTCAACCAGTCCTGCCATCTTCAAGATCTTGTGTGCATTCACCTTAAGATCTCTACACTCCTGCATATCATTCAAGTCTAATAAAAAGTACAGGTATGTGGTAGTCACTTGCAATGAAAGGTAACACTTGCTTATGGCAAGAATCAGCACATGGACTCATTTAACATGGAGAAACTGTTGTGCTGCAGGTATCACATGACTGAAGAGAGATCTCAAAATCTCCCCTCTCCCAACCACATCCCAAAACCAGCCCAGCTCGTCCCCGCCTCCCTAACCTGTCCTTCCTCCCACCTATCCCCTCTTCCCACCTCAAGCCCCACCCCCATCTCCTACCTACCAGCCTCATCCCGCCCCCTTGACCTGTCCGTCCTCCCTGGACTGACCTATCCCCTCCCTAACTCCCCACCTACACTCACCTTTACTGGCTCCACCCCCGCCTCTTTGATCTGTCTGTCTCCTCTTCACCTATCTTCTCCTTTATCCATCTTCTATCCTCCTCCCCCTCTCTCCCTATTTATTTCAGAATCCCCTTCCCCTCCCCCATTTCTGAAGAAGGGTCTAGACCCAAAACATCAGCTTTCCTGCTCCTCTGATGCTGCTTGGCCTGCTGTGTTCATCCAGCTCTACACCTTGTTATCTCTTCCACTATTGCTGCCTCTCATTGATATTGCTCAACAGTAACTTTGCAGTCTAAGTTACATTACCTTAGTATGCATACAAAGGCTGCAGTATACAGTAAAAGTCACTTATTATTATCCTATCATAGAGAGTATAATTTTATAATTTTATAGATAGTACATCATTCAATTTTATAATATGTATAATTTTATAAATATGATGTGCTGTTAAACAATACATCAGAATCTGAAGTAAGGTTTATAGGTTGACAATCCACATGTCTGGCTGCATTATAACATATCAGCCTTGGCCGTCAAGCCCTGAGGTGGGACTTGAACCGAGAGCATCTGATTAAAAGGGGGGGATTCAATCATGGGCCAACTGGGATGCCTGGAACAGAAGGTGCAGTCATTTCAGTTAACCACAGTAAGTTCTAAGTCTATGGTTGACAGTTTGTGCCATTGCTATATAAAAGGGCATTTGAGAAATAATACAATTTATGATGAGAATTCTCACCCTCAAACCAGCAATGTAACATATGTTCCTAGCAACTTGCATTATTGGATATTTTATAGCTTTAATTATTCTTGAAATGGTGGGCAGGATTTAATGCTGGTGAGAGTGATCTCATCCATTAGCTCGAGAACTGGTGGGAGACGCCATTGTTTCTTGAGGGAAGCCTGACCAAATGAAGTGCCTACCAGCAGTTAACTGGTCAGTGGTGGCCCTAAGGGTCTTAGAGATGGAAATCTTAACTGTCAAGCAGAGCAACCAATAATGAGGCTGCTCTCAGCAATGCTACTAGAACAGCACTAGAGATTGTTGCAGGATTTCTTAATGTAGGCTAGTGAGGGTGGGATGGGGTCTGTAGGATCACAGTCTCTCTCCAAACAGACTTCATGAAATATGAAAAACAACATCAAACCTCCGGAGAGGTGCTACAAATAAAAGTCAACCTTCTGCAGAAACACACAGAAATTAAATTCAGATAGTGGCTTAGCATGAGGGATTCAACATTACTTGACCACTGTCATAGGGCAATGGTGCAGGGAAATGCCATTACCTGACACAACCATGAAACTGATCAGCAATATCACAGTATCGGGATCTGACCATTGTTATTATGACGAGTTCCCATTGAGGAGGGAAATGGATAAATCACACATTTGCCGATCTGGGTGGCATGTCATTTCCAAACAGCAGGAGAGATGGTCTATTCACAATGGTTCTAAACAAGTTATCTAGACTTTTTTTTCATGGAAAAGCACCACTTTGATTCACTGATCATACTTAGCTGGACTGTGTGTGAAATCCATCAAAAACAATTAGCTGTCAATGATCCTGAACAATAGGGAATTGTTTGATGTTGCTGTGATATGTTTGATGTGAATCACTAATAAAAGGGGGCAAAATTGAAGGAACTTTACTACAGTTGGAAGAAGGGTCAAGATTGGTCAGTCTCACTGAGCACTGGATAGATCAGCCATGTTGATCTTTGAAAGTATTCCAGATAAATCGCAGTGATCTTGGATTGGAGGGATCTGGCGATAGAATGAAGGTCAGGAAATGTCAACGTGGCTTGTACACCAACTGTTCTCATTGGAAGGACTAACAACATAAAGGATTGTAAGTTATCAGCCAAAACCAAGGTGTACTGAGGCTGAGAGATTAAGGTAACTCTAGGGTTACAAGCAAATCTGGGGGTTTGGGTCTGAATTAAGTAAGGTTTGGAACATAAAGATGAGTTTTGCCTGTGACTTTTCTGTAAAAGTTTCTTTCTCTAAAACTTTGTAGAGTTCTTGTGTGTTTCAGGTGGAAGGAAGGTTAAATTATGAAGAATTTTAAAATCAGAAGGCATATCAAGATACTGCATCATTTGAACCATTTTACAGGTTTTGTATCAGGGCATGAGGAAGTTATTTTGGTAAAAACTGTTTGCGGCTAGTCAACCCCTGTGTCTGTGCGATTTTGTTGTTTTCATTAAATGTTGAAGTCAAAGAACCATTGTAATTGTGGAATGGGAATGGAAGGTATTTACAAGTCACAGGAGGGGAGGGGCAGGCAGGTCAGAAGCAAGGGTAGGGGCTAGATTTTAAAGAGTCCCATATCCTCAGGCCCAGTCCTTCTGAGTGCCTGATGACAAGAGAGCAGCCCCAGTGGGCAGCAAGCAAACCTGCTAAGGAGGGACTGGAAAGCTGTGTGGTTCCAACTTAATCCCAGAGCCACCACTAAATTACAGTGGGAAACAAGGATGTACATTGCAGAAAAGATGTCTACAGCAGCACTCACATTAAAAAAAATCTCGGATCTTCCAAACTCAACCTGAAGTAGCAGCTCATTATGTTCTCAAAGCGATCGACCCAATAGACACATTGAATAATACAGACAAGGCTTGACTTATCAAGGCACATCGACCCAACAAGATACAAAGTAGTACTGGAAAGAGAATAGTCTGAGAGCCTCAAGGACATTCCTGTGGCTATAGGAGAATATCAGACATACATGGATAAATTGACAGCCCAAGATAGTATATTATACAAAGGAAATACAATTGTTAGTTGAGAGGAGAGATGTTAAAGCGCATCCTGTCTGGGGAAAGCAAGGCCAAACATGAGCAATGAAATCAAGAACCAGTGTGCAGTGCTTCTAATGAGTACCAAGCTAAGCAAGCTGGAGGAACCACTGATGACACATGACATGCCAGACAGATCATGCATGAATAAAAACTAAAAGAACTGCAGATGCTGTAAATCAGGAACAAAAACAAAGTTGCTGGAAAAGCTCAGCAGGTCTGGCAGCATCTGTGAGCGAGAAAACAAGAGTTAACGTTTCGGGTCCGGTTCTGAGGAAGGGTTACCGGACCCGAAACGTTAACTCTGTTTTCTCCCTCACAGATGCTGCCGGACCTGCTGAGCTTTTCCAGCAATTTTGTTTTTGTTGAGACCATGCATGAAGTTGAGAGCAGTACTTTTTATACTTTCAGGAAATTATCTTGACAGTGTAGACCATTATTTTGATTACTGGGAGGTGAAGCAGATGACCTCAATGACAACTACTGAGATTGCTGAATGCCTAAAAGCACACTTCAGCCATTACAGCATTCTTGACATTGTCACGAATGACAATGACCATGAGTTCAGAAGTGAAGAATTCAGTTGCTTTATAAACAATTGCAAAATTCAACTCCACACATCATCTCCATACTATCTCCAGTCAAATGGAAAGGCTGAGGAGGCAGTGAAAATAGCCAAAGGAATCATAAAGAAATTGAGCAAATCACACACTGATCTATATAAGGCAATCATTGAAGGGAGAAACACATCTACTGAAGGTATGGAAATTAACACAGTCCAAAGATGAGTGATGCTGGAATGTAGTAACATTAAGTGACAAAATTAAAGTGAAACAGCAGAAAACCAAATATCCTCTCGTCAAAACTGTTAAGCTAGTGCAGATTTAAGCACTGGAGAACTAGTCAGAGCACAAACCTTCAATGTTCTCAACAAAAATCAATCCAAATGGTACTTGGCAATCTGTTTAAAGCAGCTGTCCTCAATCATATGCAGTTGAACTAATCAACGAGATATATTGTTACAGCAACAGGTACATATGCCCATCTAGAGAAACTATTCCTTGGAAGCAGACAGCTGAACAGGAAGAGATGAATACACCAGCTGCACAGATC